CTCTGGGTATTTGATCTTAAGGAAGTTCAGATCAACTATTGAACATTTGAACTACTGATCAGAAAGTTTGCATATTTCCTTTTCTGGAATCGGAGGTTTAGATATTGTTTACAGAAAGATATTGAATGGTGTCCTGAGCTCCTGATCGATTCATTGAGAAATTAATTGCCAGGGGAAATCTGGAAGTGGAAGAGATATGTAGCTTTAGGTGGCTGAGGAAATGCCATGATAATGGTAGTTGCTTGAATATGGATTAATTCAAGTGACTTTGGATGATCATGCAAGTACCATTTTCTGCATCATGTCATGATTTTCTGTGTGCTTGTGGTTTCTGTGTGGTCTTAATCTTTTCTGCATTTCTTGCAGTGGATTGAGGAGCCAACATTGCTGGTTACCCGATTTGAGTATGCAAACCTTTTCCACACTGTAACAGATTGGTACAGTTCGTATGCGGCTTCTAAAGTGACTGAGTTGCCTTACCGGCCGCATTTGGTTTTTGTGGATGGCCATTGTAGAGTACGTTCCCTCTCTGCTCTCTCCTTTGAATTGGTTCTTTGTAGATGTTTTTTTCTAGTGTTTGCGTTACGTATTGAATTGAGAGCACAGCAACTTAATTTATCAGAAATAATGAGCAACTGTGAAACCAGGAACTTCAGAGCCGGTCCTTATTTCTCTATGTGATGTTCTCATTGCTTCAGTATATAATCTTAGCTAGCCACTTCAGGAGCCAGGATTCTGTGTGTTTTTGGGGATAAAGATCCTATTTTATGTGATTATTCTGGTGACAAGTTTACTCTGCTTTTTGCTCATGTTGGATTCCATGTGCTGTTATTCTAGTTGCAAGAGGGGCGTGAATTATGAATTGAATTAGATGCATCATAGAGCTTTAATTTGTGTTATTGTTGTATCAATTCTAATGTCTCTTCTCCTTGGTTTATGAACATCAATGGAAAATGAGTTGTTTTCTGGAACTCTGAGCATTTCATCATGGTTACTTTAGTCTTTTTTTTCCCTCAATGAATGATTCAACTTCTTTATCACGAACACTGGCAATTTATCTCATATGTTCTCGTTAGGCTCATGTGGAGTTACAGGCTTTCACAGTCTTTTTTTCTTTCATTTCTCTGCCCCTTTAGTTTCTTAGTTGGGATATTGCTTCTGTTAGGGATCAGGAATACATTCTAGAGTGAATTTTGCAAACTACGTGCACTCCATTAATGAACTTCACTCGAACCTTGTGTATTGCGTTTCGGCCTTGGTTTGTCTCAGACACTACATTTATAGCTCGCTCATTGATTTCTCATCTTTTTGAGAAAATTTCAGACACCCTTGGAAGAAACCTGGAGTGCTCTCTTCTCTAGCATCCGATATGCTAAAAACTTCACCGGCTCAGTTTGTTACCGTCACGCTGTACTTGTTCCTCTGGGATACGAGACCGCCCTCTTCAAGGGTCTAACTGAAGACATATTCTGTTATGGAGCTGATGGGAAAGAACTTTGGATGAACCCAGATGACCACAAGACAGCACGATTGTCAGAGTTTGGAGAAATGATAAGAGCAGCCTTTCACTTCCCGGTCAATAATCCCGGTACTGAAAAGCCTGCTTCAGGCCTCAACGTTCTTTTTGTGAGACGGGAAGACTACTTGGCCCACCCGCGCCATGATGGAAAGGTTCAATCGAGACTGAGCAATGAACAAGTCGTGTTCGATGCTGTACAGAAATGGGCATCATCTGAACATAACAATAATTCGGAGTGTAAAGTGAAGGTAGTGAACGGATTATTTGCACACATGCCAATGAGGGAGCAACTGAGAGCCATTCAAGAGGCTTCGATTATCATAGGCGCTCATGGTGCTGGCCTGACTCACATTCTGTCAGCTACACCAAGAACCGTGATTCTTGAGATCGTGAGCGCAGAGTTCAGACGCCCACATTTTCAGTTGATTGCTCAGTGGAAAGGGCTGGAGTATCACGCCATATATCTCGACGATTTGTATGCTAATCCAGTGGTTGTGATCAGCAGGCTTGGACGCATAGTGAGAAGCTTTGAATGTTGAGGAGAAATCCTCCCTTCTTCAATCAAACGTTCGTTCTGTGTGCGCTTCACGATCAAAGATCGTTAAGAGATGCTTGGAAAGGCCCGGAGGCTGTAAATTTAACAGCAGCAGAACAATTTGCATGCTCTTGTGGGAGAGCTTGCTCGCAAACATGGATCGAAGCTGACGCTGAATGTAAATTTTGTCAGTCTGAAGGCCATTTTCTTCTTCTCCGGCTGATGAGTGGCTAGGCGGCTGTCCTAACCTGTGACTGCCATTGTTGTAGAGTTGTGTCATTGACGTAGTTGATTGTTTCTTGGAAGTCTCTGTAACTGTGTAACATAGGCATACACAAAGCTCGTCTATTATCATAGAGATGATGGCATCATATTGTTCAATATCAGCTGGGAGTTGAATGAAAGAAAGAAAAGTCACTGAATGTAAGTTTCTTCAGGCAGGAACCTGGGTCTCGAAAATAATTTAAGAATCTCTAGTATTATCTTAGTTATTTCTATAATTTGTTTGGTGCACTTCATAAATTCAAATAAATTTTCTATTAAGGACAAATTTATGGATAATAATGTATAATTTTTTTATAATTATATAATCATATTCCACTATTGTCAACAATTTCACATTTAAATTTGATGATCACGGTTTTTCACCTAGAATGTTATAAATTATAGGCTAATTTTGTTGTGAATGGGCCGTGGCAGCCCATAAACGCAATAAGAAGCCAGCTTTGGGCCTGTAAGTTCTTTATTTTTATTTTGGGCCCGTAAGTTGAAAGGCTCTGGCTCCTGTTTTCCGCATCCAGCACCTTCTACAACTGTATAAATAACCGTACATCAGAGGTAATTCTTCTAACATCGACACCCGCAAATATCACAGAACCGCACCGAGAGCGATCCACAGCAATATTCCAGAAGAAGAAGAAAGGCACAGATGGGATTCGAGAAGGAGATCATCCGCCCAGGAAATGGCCCCAAACCTTCTCGCGGCCAGAAAGTCACCGTCCATTGCACCGGCTTTGGTAAGCTTTGTTGGGCATTCAATCTGCGCACTCTTGACGCGTTCATAGCGGTGAACTTTTTAGGAATTAGTTTGGTAGTGAACGTAGCTAGGTCTTTTGGCGCGATCCATTGCTTGATTATCTTTGCCTATCGATTTGCAGGGAAAAATGGTGATATGTCTGAGAAGTTCTGGAGGTGAGGGCTTCTCACTTCTCACATTCTGTTGCATTACTAATTGTGGGGTTCTGTCACTTTGGCCTGCAAATTTGTTTCCAGTTTCCCCGATCTTTCAATTGTATTTGTGAGTTCAATAATGGTGTTGCCCATGTTTCTGTGTATCAGCACAAAGGACCCAGGGCAGCAGCCTTTCTCTTTCAATATTGGCAAGGGAAGCGTCATAAAAGGTGAGCCCTCGTGTTTTTCGTTTCTCGCTTTGAAGTTGGTTTCATTGGCTGCTTGGTTATCTTCCACATTATCTGGGCACTGTTGTATTGTGCTTTGCTTTGTCCCCCCATGTTGTGGATTGTACTATGGTCTATGGTAAGAATAGATAGGTGGGTTTTGGATGCTGTCAGTGTCAATACTTTCCTAGGGTGAGCACCCAGTACTTCACTTTAAGCAGAAAGGTTTTCGATATGGTTCAGCACACATTTTGTTCAGTGGATCTGTTTGGAAAATTGTTTCTCTTAGCTTTAATTTGTAATGTAAGTATTTGGAAAAGAGAGTTTTGGCTGGATGATCAGCTTTGTACCTCCAGGGTCAATTTGTCTGCATTCCGGTTCTCGTGAGCTCATCTATGAGCATTTTGTGCTAGTAACCCTTGTATCAATCTTCTTAGTTCTTGTGCAACTGCTGATAATCCTTGTAAAATTTATATGTAGGGTGGGACGAGGGAGTCATGGGAATGCAAGTGGGAGAAGTTGCTCGTCTACGGGTAATGTTCCTTGTCGAAGTTGTTCCCTTGGTGCTTTTTCCATAAGTTGGATTATAGACTTATAGTTTATGCTCTAAATAAGAAAGCCTTTGTCCTAACTGCAAAATGCAAATGAAACCCAGCATTTCATGCACAGCGGTAGCGATTCTGTTGCTTGATGGGGTTGAATCTTCATGTTTCATGCCCCTGTCAAGGTTTTTGAAGGTGTTATCTTTCTATGGTGGGGTGAATCTAATAAGCCTTTTGGAAAACTTGTCAGAAAAAAAGCTACTACCTTGTATGCTAGTCCAACTCCAGAGCCACTCATCCTTGTTGGTAGATGATGGACTCGTCATATCTATAGGGTAGCAATATCGCAGGTCAACTGTTTGGATTTCATAATCCGGCTTGGCAAGCGAACAGATGACTGTACCGTATAGTATTAGGCTGCGAATGTCGTTATACTTAAAAGACTCTTAAAAGAATTCACCATCATTGCCGTTTCTATACTCTTCTGCTTACCTAATAATCTTATTTCCGTGAATGAATTTGCAGTGCTCCCCCGACTACGCCTATGGAGCTGCTGGATTCGGAGCATGGGGAATCCTGCCCAATTCTCCTCTGATTTTCGAGATCGAAGTCCTGAGCGTAGAGTGATATTTCTTAGTGAAGGGGCGGAAGAAGACCGATCCATGGAGTTGCAGTAATTTCGTATTGTCCAAGTCCTCGGGATTTTACTTAGAATAATGGCTGCCTTGTCATTGAGACATGTCTATGTACCGTAAACTACCAGACTTTGAATCATATAGCACTTGCCTTCAGGCATCAAATTGTCAACTCAGTGTGTTCTTTGGCCATCCAGTCATATTCTACAATTGGATAGTATGTCTTATGCTTATTCTCTACGTCGCTTTCCTCTCTGGCTTTTGCAGAATGGCTTGGTGAAATGGTGAAGCAGAATTTCCTTGTACTTTTAACAATTTTCTTTGAAACCAGAGGCCCAACTTGGCCAAGTTTGTAGGCCCACAGCGGCCCAAATGTTTGCTCAACGGCGCCGTATTGCTACCATATTCACCGCCTCCTTCCAGGGAAAAACCCCAAACTCTTTCTCGCCTCGGTTCTCTGCCTCCGTTCATAGCTGTACGAATTCCGGTGGCGGAGTCTCGTTGATGGAAGGATTTAGGTTTTCGAATCCGAGGGCGGTTGGTAGCTCCGTTAGGTCTGCCTGGAGGATTCAGCGGTCACTACCTTCCGGCGATCACTCTCCGGCAGAATGTCGACTGATTAGGTGTTTGGCGACTGTGCCGCCGACTTCGCTTTATTCGAAGCGTTTCGGTCCCGATTCGGCGACGGGACACTCGTCACCGCTTCTTGGTTCCTACTCCGCGAGAACAGTTCCTTTCGGCTCTGTGAGCCCTTTCTCGATTCAACGGCTCCATTTCTCGACCTCGAATGGCAGAGCTGAGAAACCTGGCGGTGGTAGTGAAGTCTTTGCTGGAAGTGGAACTGATATTGGTGGTGATGGGAGCGACGGAGTTGCTGGTGGTGGCGAGTGGATGGATAAGCTTAACGATGTATGGCACGGTGTGACTGGTGTTGTGAACTATACAGCAGAAAGGGCGAAAGAGGTCTCTGATGGAGTGAACCCTCATGTTCAGAATGTGCTCGATTCGCATCCCTATCTCAACACTGTGGTTGTTCCTATTGGCTACACACTAACTGGTACGATATTGGCGTGGGTGGTAATGCCGAAACTCTTGAGGAGGCTTCAGAGGTTTGCAGTGCGAAGTCCTGGTGGAGTGCTCTCCACAAGCATAAGCGGGCAGGAAGTTCCTTATGAGAAGAGTGTTTGGGGTGCCTTGGAGGATCCTCTGCGCTATTTGGTTACGTTCGTGGCGTTTTCACAAATGTTAGTTCCTGAAAATCGCACAAATTGCCTTTCGTTTGCTTGTCTTTCTGAGCTATGCAATGAGTAGTTGCGTGGTTTTTCCGTTTGTTTCTTGGCTGATTCGTATGAGGACTTTATGTGTTGTAGTTGTGCTATGCTGGCTCCAACAACCGTGGCATCACAGTACCTCTGACAAGCATGGAAGGGTGCGACGACGATTTCTTTGGTGTGGTTTCTTTATCGGTGGAAGACCAATTTGATCAGTCTTGCGTTGGCTTCGCATAGTTTGGCCGTTGCTGATCGAGATAAGTGGTTGACCTTGGATAGAGTTTCGTCTGTGGGGCTTTTTGTTATTGGCCTGACGGCTTTTGCTGAGGCATCTGGAGTGGCTGTGCAGTCTATTTTGACAGTTGGAGGAGTTGGAGGTGGGTTTGTCTTAGGTGGATTGCATTTGTTATTATACCTCGATGTTCGAAAGTTGCATCATTGATTCGATCTTCTGTTGGTTTTGTGTATTTTTCTAATCTCTGTAGGGGTGGCTACTGCATTTGCTGCTCGGGATGTGCTTGGAAACGTTCTCAGTGGTTTGTCAATGGGAGTTTCAAAACCTTTCTCAATTGGAGATACGATACAGGTAAGTGGATCCTTTTAGGTAAACTTCTAGATGAATTGTCCTAAGAGTACTTAATAATAAGCCCTCTGGTCAGTTTGTATTTGTAGCACCACAATAACACTTCCAGTTATGACATAATGAGGGAATTTAATATTTATGCTTAGGTTCTATTTAGTTGGAAGGAAAGGGTTCACGAACCCTATGCATACTTTAGCGAAATGATGTATGTATAAAACCTTATTTTCCGGTTGATTAGCCCATGTAATCATTAGTGTTTAGCTTTTAGTTGCTTATTTTTTGCCAAATATATGAATGTGAAAGATGTCTTTTAGGTGTTCAATGGTAGCTTAATTAGCTTAGGCACTTGTTTCTAAATCCTTTGGATTAATATACTAATTGGTTGCCTTATATATCTGAGAAACTAAATCTCTTGAATGCAGGCGGGTTCCATTGAAGGTCAAGTGATAGAGATGGGACTAACTTCTACAATGTTACTAAATGCTGAAAAGTTTCCAGTGATAGTCCCGAATTCATTGTTTTCTAGTCAGGTGCGTGCATGTTTGTTGATGCTTCTATGTTTTCCCTCTACGGGTTGTGATCTTATAAAGAGTCTTAGGGCTTGCTCTACCTGTTTGATGATGCAAAGTTCCTTAATCATGGTCTGTGAAACTTGCAGGTGATTGTAAATAAGTCTCGTGCTCATTTTCGCGCTATGGTGAAAGTAGTCCCTCTGGTGGTCGATGATGTGGACAAAGTTGCACAAATTTCGAAGGACATTGAGGCAATGATAAAGTCGAACCCAAAGGTTTTCTTGGGGAAGGAGGTCCCTTACTGTTTCTTGTCTAAAATCGGAAGCTCCTCTGCAGAATTGACTTTGGGATGCAATCTTAAACACATGGTAACCTTTCTTCTCTACAGTCTCTTCCACCCAACATCATTTGGCCTCCACGTTGTCTTGTTTCATTATGGAATCTAATCTTTTATGAGTTCCCTATCATTTGCTCCCTGCATAGTTTAGATTTCAAACCATAAAAAGCCAGTAGAAAGACAAGATGGTGGAACGATTCCGTGAGTTACTGTTGGTCAAAATTATGCATAATCTTCACCTAAATTGTGATATCTCTCCACATTTTGTTTGTAATTCTGGTTGCTACGACTGACTAGGACAGTATACAACCATGGGTAGCTAACGAATTGCGTCTAACTATTTCTCTCATGTCTAACTGATTCCTTTTTTCTTCACAGAGCAAATATGATTGCTATGCCACTGAACAAGAGATACTCTTGGAATCGGCTCGCATAGTTAAAGTGCATGGTGCCAGACTGGGAGCTACTTGGCAATCATAATCGTGGATTCGTGGTTCGATAGAGCCTCGCAAAGATTGTTTCCTCACCATGTAAATGTTCAACCGAACCATCCTCTGCCAAAATCGACTTGGAAACCCTGAGTCTCGCAATCTGCACGAAACCTTGTGATTGTTAACAACACTGTCTATCACTTGATCCATGACCTTGGCCAAGTGGGAGATTTCGGGAAGACTTACTGGTTCCCATCTGAAATGTAAATTAGCCTTATGACACAGGTCAGACGAATTCTTCTTTTTTACTTTGATTATGGGTTCTCATGATTTTGAAAATATCATAAAGCTAGTTGAGGCATTTGACCGTTTCTCATAAAAACACAGTCCTTTACCTCCTCAGAAATGTCAACATCGAAGGGCCTGCCTCTACAGCCCCGAGCAATAATCAACGTCTTTAAGAAGAAGACTCGGCAGCAACAATATCGAATCATTCCATTCTCTTCCCCATTTTCGTTCCTCAGAGAAAGAAAAACAGATGGAGAATAGTCTACCGATCAGCAATCGCAGCAGCGAGACGGAGTACGAAGACCTGCTGCCGGTGATGGCGGAGAAGCTGGACGTGGAGGGCTTCGTGAAGGAGCTGTGCGGTGGCTTTCAGCTACTCTGCGACGCCGAGAAGGGGCTCATCACAGCTGCGAGCCTGCGGGCGAATTCGGAGCTCCTGGGGATGGAAGGGATGACGGAGCAGGACGCGGAGGCCATGGTGAGGGAAGGAGATCTCGACGGCGACGGAGCGCTGAGCGAGGCGGAGTTCTGTATCTTGATGGTGAGGCTGAGCCCCGGGATGATGGAGGATGCCGAGGCCTGGCTGGAGAAGGCTCTGCATCAGGAGCTGCAGCGCACCAGCTCCCGTCCTCCTCTTTGAAAAGAAGAAAAGGAAGCTCTGGAAATGGAAGAATACTATTCTGGACTGCTTGTTTTTTCCTTTGTTTGCTTTGTATCTGCTGCTGCTGGTGTGATTCCTGCAAATAAATATGTGGAGAACGAGATCCCCAAATTCTGGGAATTAATTGCATAGTCCAAAATTAACCAGTGAGCTGTTCTTCTATTGGCTGCTCTTTTGTGATCTTTAATGAAATCACCTACCGAAATGTATGTAGGAACCCGAATCGATCGATGGTGATTAATATTGTGAACTCATCTTTAATGAAATCACCTACCGAAATGTATGTAGGAACTCGAATTGATTGATGGTTATTAATCAATTAACGCAACTGGATAAATTTTTAAAAAAGGATAACATGGTGGAGATGCGGGGTATCGATCCCCGTACCTCTCGCATGCTAAGCGAGCGCTCTACCATCTGCGCTACATCCCCGTCGTTGTGCATTATACTTAGGTAGATTTACGAATTGTGTGTTTATAATATAAAGTCCTAGTAAAATTTTCTAACCATTTGAGTTCGTCGGTCGCACTATAATTTCATAGAGAACAATTGACGCGGAACTCTACATACGCTATAAGTAAAAGCCTCTAAATAACTTAATTGTACTTGATGACAGATCTGGGTTCTGATTAAGAAAACTATGTTACAAATAGTGAGAGATGTGAACTCGTATTTAATGAAGTGAAGTCACCAGCTCTATATTTATGCACATAACATGCTAATATAGAGTAACCCGTTAGCACACAAATGCTTAAGTAATTGACTCTTTGATATTACAAATAGTGTGAGATATTGTGAACTAATCTTTAATGAACCGATGGTGATTAATCAATTAACACAATTAAATAGATTTTAAAAGATGATAAAATGATGGAGATGCAGGATATCAATCCATGTACCTCTCGCATGCTAAGCAAGCGCTCTACTATCTGAGCTACATCCTCATTGTTGTGTCGTTTGCTTGGATAGATTTATTAATCATTTGTTTATAATATAAAGTGCTAGTAAACTTTTTAACCATTTGAGTTCGTCAGTCGCACTATAATTTCATTGAGAACAATTGAGCGAAACTCTACATATACTTTGAGTGAAAGCCTTTAGATAACTTAATTGTACGTGATGACGGATCTGGGTTTTGTCTAAGAAAACTATGTTACAAATAGTGAGAGATATTGTGAACTCGTATTTAATGAAGTGAAGTCGCCAGCTCTATATGCACAAAACATGCTAATATTGAGTACCCGTTAGTACACAAATGCTTAAGTAATTGTCTGTTTGATATTACAAATAGCGTGAGATATTGTAAACTCATCTTTAATGAAGTCGCCTACCTAAATATATATATGAACCAAGCTTGTCAAACCGGATTAAGCCATCAAACCGGATTGACAAGTGATTTGAGGTTTAATGGTCGGATAAGTTTCACCGAGTTCAAGTCGATTTTTTTTTTGTGGGAGTTCAAGTCTATTTTAACATAATATGTAATAAAACCTCTAATATCAAATAAATTAAGTATATATTTGACATATTTTAAAACAACCTCGCTAATCTACATACATATATTACCAAATTATTTCTTCAAAATAATTATATATTACAAAATTATCAATCCTCATTTTCAAACTTGGTTTTGACAAATCAGACCACCCAGTTTTAACTTGTTTAACACGATTTTAACTTTTTCTAGAACCGTCCAACCGGAGTGTATTCCAATCGTCTAGATGACCGATTATGGCCGTACCCAGTTGAACCAACTGACTCGATACAGGTTTGGCAACCTTGGTAGGAACCGATAGTGCACCTATATCACCCTTATCTAAAAAAAAAAACAGTGGAGATGCGTGGTATCTATGATAGTTAGTAAAATACGGTACGGGAAAGTTACGTAAAAAATACGTACGGGTATTTTACGTCGTCTCTAAGTTAAAGGTACGTTTAATAGTACGTTAATAGTAATAAATATTTAAAATAAATTATTTTAAAAATAAATAAATATATAAATAATAGTAAAGTTCACAATTTAATTCATTAAATACGGATATTAAACGTGTTATACGGGTTTTATACGTGTTTAATACGGGACCATCCAATGAACGAAAAAAAATGAAACGACTTGACAATAATACGGATACGGAAGTTTTAAACGGATAAATTACGTACGGGTACATATACGTGTATTAAACGGAGTATTTACTAACTATGTATCTATCCCCCTCCCTCTCGCATACTAAGCAAGCGCTCTACCATCTGAGCAACAACTACATCCCCGTTCTTCTACATGTTGCCCAGATACATGTATTAGACGTTTATCTATAGACTATAATATAAACTCCTAGTGAACTATTCTAATCCCTTGATTTCATTTTCATATAATCTTACTACGATTTCATCGAAACAATTGAGAGGCAGAACCATCCGTGTTTGTGACAAATACTGAATCTGCATATGCTCTCAGTGAAAGCTTCTATATCACTTGGTTGTACGTGATGACCGGGCTACGTTATGGCTAAGAAAAATATTTTACAAATTTTGAGAGATATTGTGAACTCGTCTTTAATGAAGTCACCAACCCTATATTAATACAACGAACACAAAAATATAGAGCAACCTGTTAGAACACGAATGCGGAAGTTATTGACCGTGTGATATGACAAATAACAATACTTATAGATTAAGAATCGATCGTAAGCTATCTGGTCATCAATATGTTTGTTTGAAGGAAATGATCGGTCGTAATGACCCAATTAACATAAGTAGAGAGATTGTAATGAACCAATTAAAAAAAAGTCAATTATACTAAGTAGAGAGATTGTAATGAACCAATTTAAAAAAGTCAATTAGAGATTGTAATGAACCAATTAAAAAAATAAAACAAAAGTGGACATGCGGGGTATCGATCCCCGTACCTCTCGCATGCTAAGCGAGCGCTCTACCATCTGAACTACATCCCCAATGATGTGCATTTATCTACGATATTTATGAAGTCTTTTCTTTAATTCATCAACCCTTTTCTTTCATCTTCGTCGAATCACGCTTCTTAGTTCGTTACCTTTCTCCATTAGAAGATGGATCGTTGGCAAGTAGAGGCAGAACCATGAGTACGGTGATAAATACTGAATCTACATACACTCAGTCTCGAGCACTTCGTTGTATTTGACGACGGATCTACTGGCTGAGAAAATTCAACACTGATGCAGAAGAAGTGGAACACGACCCAATCTTTTGGAATAAACAGAAACATATCATTTAACTAGAGGACATGATGAGTATTCTAAAGTATATGGTTCAGCAGTAGTACAAGGGCGAAACTTTGGCATCTCATTGTCATATCTCAAAAAAAAGTCTTGAAGACCGAAAATATAAAACAAGGAACAAAAGCTGACAAATATCCAGTGAATCAAAACTATTAAGCAGCTCCAGCTCCCTTGCCCTTCTTCTTCTGCAACTTCTTCATATAGAACTCAAGCTCTTTGCCCTCCAAGATGTATCTGTCAAGTCACAAAAGGGAAAGAAAACAGTTATAATGGCTAATGCAGACTCAAGAACATGGTATCATATAACGATATCAAACACTTTAGCATGAGAGAATTTGAGAATTCAGACGTACCCATCAGCACGGCCACATTGACCAGGGCGTGATGAAATGCAAGCTAACAAACGCCCACCGCCGAACTGCTCCTCAATATGTGAGTCAAGCTGGCGGGTCTGCTGCCTCTTCTCCAGCTTCCTTGTCACATGGCTGCTCTTCTTCACTTCTTCAGGGACAGCTTCAGCTTCCTAGATACCCAGTCAGTTCGAGAAGTAAATAAGGGAAGAGAGTCAGCACTGCAAATTATAGTTTCTCCTATTACATATATCTCTGAAACACTCATTACCTCTCCTTCCTTCTTGGCAGCTGCTGCTGCAGCTGGGTTCTTCTTCTTGCGACCAATGTCGACACCATAGTGCTGGAGATACCACTGCTTGAAAGGTGCTGCGTCGACCTGAACAATGGCACTCTTGACCAAAGTCTGGGTACGGACCAACTCATTGTTAGACGCATTGTACACCACGTCGAGAAGTCTGGTCTTCCTGGTCACCGCCTCGCTACCCCATGAGAAGTTTCCAGTATCGAGCCTCAATGCACGCCATTTCACATTGCCTCCACGAACCCTCACTCTCCTGACTGTCTTGTTGCTGGAGAGCTTGGTGTTGGCAGGCTGCCTTCCGAGCTCATACCTACACAGTATTGAAGTTTGACCCAAGTGAATACATGCTGGCCATCGATTTAATCCTCACTCAACAGAAACAGTCGACAGGGGCACAGAACGAATTGGCACCCTCGAAACAGACCGATGAGACCATATCTTCACTACCCACAAGCCACAGACAGCATGCAATATATCATCCGTTTAAAACTCGAGATTCACTGCTTAGAAATGAGCATATCAGTCTAACCTTAGTGAACTTGTAAGTAACAAACCCAATTCAACTAACCTCAAACAAACTAAGACCTAATCAAATTAAGTCAATAAACCCCTAAAAAACACTGAAACCATATCTCAGAACTCTTTCCTTGTCCTCGCAGCAGGAACGGGATGAAACAGAGCGACATTACGCAAACCCTAGTGGGAACGAAGAAGAACACCAGAGAATGAAATTCGAGGGGACTCACTTTCGCTTCTTCCTCCATGACTTCTTCTTGCCACCAGTGGCGCGCCTCTTATGCATCGAATCACGGGAGATCCCTATCCATATCCAACACCAAAACCATAAATGAACCAAATCAACATCAACTACCTACAACAATGATTCAAAACCTGAAAAACCTTAAGATTCACGAGAATCAGAGACGCATAAATCATACCCATTTTCGCAGAGTGAGGAGTCGACGGCTTTCTGCGGCCTTCTGGATATCAGCAGCCCTCCGGGGTACAGAAAACACAGCTTCGGCAGGAAGAGAAGATTGAGCCAGGCGAAGGCTAAAGGTGTTATAGTCCAAAAACCCTAGTCTTCCAAATTACGTCATTGTCCTCAGCAGTGCTCGTGTTTGGTTGGGTAAAATCGTAAATTTGGGTCCAGAACGACCGGATAAGCCCAACAAACTAGCCCAGCTAAGAGAAAGGGCCCGTTTACTTTCCAGGCGAGTGGTAACATCCATCCCGTTGCCGGAGGACGAGCCCGGCGGCGAGTCACTTTCATTCGTTGTGAACAATTGGCACTAAGGCAAATTGAAGAAGGGAACCCAGGTGAAGAAGCGCTTGGCTCTTGGTAAAGCTTCGTCTTTTCCGATCGGAACTTACCTAATGTGCTAGTTAATTCGGTTCTTCCTCCCTGGATACATATATTCCGTTTGGTATAGACTACCCCGATCACTTCGTCTGGTGGGGTTTCTTGAGATACTGTTTTGAAGGCTGAGATGAGCTTTTCGACGGTGAGTAATTTGGGTTCTCGCGTTGATGTGACGAGATTCCGGGGGAAAAGTGCTGCGGAGGTTGTTCAGTCTTCGAGTGGGAAATGGAGGTTTGGTGCCAATCTTAATTGTCGGGAGTCGCTGCCTTGCCGCCGGAGGAAAAACTTGATGTGTAAGAGTGAACTTGTTGATTTCGACGAGAGGACGAGTCCGCATGAGGTAGCCACTTTTTCCCACTCCTTTCTCCATGTTCTGAGGTTACAAGTTCAGAGCTTTTTGTGGTTTCTATGATTATAGTTTGTAAGGTGCCTTGGTGTTCGGGGTTTTGCTTCCAAGCTCATAGCTTTCAATGATTTGTGTTTATGTGCTGTTGTTTAGAACTCCAGTCAACGGCAATAAAGGCAGAATTCAGAGTAGGGTAGCTTGCTAGATCAAGAAGCAAGAGTTTGTTGGATGGGTTATAGATTAGATCAATTGCTGTTCTGAGTGATTCACGATGGGTCCATTTGATGCTTGCAGCGTATTGTATTAGCACCTCTGTGGAGTTGAAGGTTTGTTAGTCCGTTTGCTAGGTTTGCTTGATGGTTGAAGTTCTACTGCTATAAACCTTACTGTGGGAGCTTAATGGTCAACTTGTATCTTCTTCTTGTTTTGAAGATCAGAAAAGAGGTAGAGCGATGTTACGATCTAATAAATCGACTCGGAAGAGGAACTGTTTATCTGGGTTCTTCACGAATGGGACCGGATCATCCACATTACTCGAAAGCATTTGAGCTTGGGAGAGAGGCAAGTCGGTCCGTATTGCCCGTAGTTTCTATATTTAATGTTCATTATAGTGGATTGAAAAGTTTCGAGAAGATCACAATGACATTTCAATCATAAGATCACAATGACATTTGATCCTGTTTTTGTTTCCAGATTGCTAAGCTTTTGGACTGCACATCATGGACAGGGGCTGGTCCAGGTCTAATGGACGCTGCTACTAAGGGCGCATTGCAAGCAGGAAAGCCTGTTGGTGGATTCAAGATAGGTAAAGAAGCTGGGGAATGGACAGCCTCAAACTTTCATTCTTACCTTCCCACAGAAACCTATCTTACATGCAGGTAAAACAACAATTACTAATAGTAGTGTTGCTTTAAGCCCCTCCATTTGTGCCTCGATAGCAGAACTGATAATGTTTTCAGACGAATGGCAGGTTCTTCTCAGCCAGGAAACACGGGCTAGTAGATGCTGCAGTGAGGAACAAAGGTACTGATCGGACTGCGGTGGTTGCTCTCCCAGGTGGGATTGGTACTCTAGACGAGATGTTTGAGATACTAGCACTGATTCAGCTGCAAAGGATTGGGTCGGAGCTTCCAGTACCCTTCATCGTGATGAACTATGACTCGTTCTACAAAAACCTGTTGGAGTTTCTAGACGATTGCGAGTACTGGGGCACTGTTTCGAGAGGCGAGGTTGCATCATTGTGGAAGGTATGCGAGAACAACTCGGAAGCTCTTGCTTACTTGGCTGGTTTCTACCATCTATCTCCCTTGGACTAATAGTGAAAGGGCATGAACCGTGAGGTCAGAAGTGCCACCTGACTTTTGAGTCATCTTTGGCTAGTCTCAGGAAGCATCTATTCTTTTTTTTTCTTTTCTGATGTTCTTTTTTGAACTGAAGGAAGTACCTATTCTGATTTGGAATTGTGAAGAGCAAACAGATGAGTGACCAATTTCCAACCAGGATTATTAAATAGTAACCAATTTATGCGGTTGGAGATAGCTCCTACCACCTCGACAATCATTTGTTAAGTTCTTTCAAATCTTGTTTGGGCAAATGAGGTAGAAAGAGTTAGAATTTGAGAGAGAGATAAACATCACTCTTGAGGAACAAATGAGGGTTCGTTTTCGAATGTCAAAACGAAATAGTGTACTTTGCAAGGAACATTGTGCAGCAGAGTCACTCATTTGACAAAATGCAGCATTCGCCTCACCCTACTCACTGATGATCGATACACATGAACAAAACTATATCTACAAAAGAGGGAAAAGGGACAGCTTTCAAAATTCTAGAAAACTTATATGACTAAAACCCTCAGGACTCGGTTGGGATCTGATACCAGAGAGGTGATAGCATTCGAGTCTTTAGTCCGTCTTAGTTTCAAGGCTCATTCATCAATCATACATTGTCCTAGACTCTCGGTTTACGAGTGTTCAAGCACTCCAGGGTCCAGGCCTCGGAGATTTGATGCGGCGCTTCGGTTTCCTCAAGGAATCACAGAAGAAAGAGAAGGCCTTGCTTAGGTCTTCTGGAAGCGGAACTGAGAGGGGGAGCATAAGGGATCGAGGCAGGCGATGGTTGTCAAGTCTTGTGCTGCTCATGTTACTAATTGGATGAGCAAGTGCTGTTTGCTTCCTGTTCATCCCTTCGACGATGAACGAGAAGGCTCCAAATGTGACACAACTCTGCAACATAGCCTGAGGTGCACCTGCATGCATAGTAGCCCGTATCATTGCCGAAAACGCTATCGTAGCTTTTAAGGAGGATTCAAAGGCTTTGTGCCTATCAAAGACAGTTAACCTTGTCATCAAATACCTGGGAAGCTTAAAGCAAGACCCGTGCAACATCCAGCAACACCAGCATTGATGACTGCAAAGACAGCATACATACATAGTCAGTCAATTTGCATCCGTGAATGTGCGTACACACTCTGTTTATAAAGGCAAGAAGGAAAAATCAGAGAGATTTAGTTCTCATCTCATACCATCATCCTTCCCACGAATCCTCTTCAGAAAGCATATGACCAGGCTGTGCACTCCAGACAAAACAGCAAACGTCTGGTGCATCCATGTTATAAACACGAAAAACAGAACTGTCTGTCAATAAGTACGCAACCTATGGTTCCTCAGATTGCATACATTAAACTTGAGGAAACATTTGCATTTGTATGAAATTTAATTTGGTTTGTCACATAGCCAAGCAGTGGCCACTGGCCATGTAAAAGAAGAGGGAATTTCCACTCTTGATAATTCAAATCCAAGCACATTACTTGCTAAGGAATGAGCAACACATTCAAATTTCAAACCCATCAAGATCATCAGCCACAGCCCACAAGTCCTACCTTTGCATGAGAACCTGCCTCCCCGAGAGATCCCTTAAAACCTTTCTTCCTAAATAATCCAGAACCTGTAACATGCCAGAATTAACTCACAGTCAGGAGCAAATTCTCAAACACATAAGAGTATCATAAACGAGTTGACAATCTAGCTGAAGCTATCATTTCCACAGAACAACCAGCTTCTCGAGGTTTACAAGTTATCCTACTGCCAAAAAATTGGGATAAAAAGTGAAATATTTTTCAGAGTTATGAGCTAAAGGAATCAGGCAGCTCTTGTTTCTCTGATTAGAGGGAAACCAATCACCAAGATGGAAACGAATTGTCTGCCCATATCCAAGTAATGACTTCCTTGCTACAAATACACCAATCAAACTTTTCGTTTCCCCGAGTGGCTTATTCCTCATGAGCCTATCATACCAATAAGGCAAAAACAATGAATTGAAGCTCTAACACAGAGCATAAACCCTAGTCAAGCAAAGCTGAGAAAGTTTACAGCCCTCGCTTCCGAGAACAATAGCCTGCTGAAAATGCAAAATGAACTACTAATGACGAAAGCCAAAGAACCCTAAAATGTCAATTATGACACCACCACAAAATCCAAAAATCCGCGGAAATCCCATATGCGCTATACTGAACAGCTCCAACCAGCACTACCACTTGTTAACAGCTACGTAAACGAGATAAATGGAAGGAGGAAAAAGAGAGATACCAAAACCGAAGATGGAGCCCATCAACGCGCCGCCGGCGGCCTCGCTAGCGAATCCGAGGAGGCAGACGGCAGGACTGGCGGGGATGACGGCGGAGGAGGGAGGTTGAATGGGAACCAAGGAGTCAGTGGAGGATGAGGAATAAGGAGTTGGGTTTTCATTGGAATCAGGGAGATCAACGTCGGAATTGGAGGGGTTTGGAGAATCCGCCGTCGCCATGTCTATCTCTTTCAGGGTGAAATGCCGCGGCCCGCGAGTCGACTGCAAGAAGGCAAAATAGGCTGTGGCCTGTGGGTGGCTTCTTTAGCTTTTGCTCGCAGTTTATTAACTGTGGGAGACCTTTTGAGGAGACAGCCAAGCAAAGCTATGCCGTTTTACCCATATCAAGGTTGTCATATCGGTTTATACCATGACGACAATTTAACAAATGGTATGGTTCAAATAGCGTACAATTGGTTTGTGTACTATGTTTTAACAAAATATTCGAGGAAATGGAAAATCATTAACAACAAATGAATTGTGCACTTACATCATCTGTCTTAAGGAAATCTACCTATAATCTTCATTTGCATCTAAATAAAATACTACATTGCGAACAAAACAACAAATTAATGTCAACAACCAAAACGTTTATTCTTGAATACGACAAATTTCTTTCTTTTTGTTAGTTAATTCCTCCAAAAAGAACAGTGTTAGTTAACCGTTCTGATGAATCACTCTTATTCTCAATCTTCACAATCTCTTTACTAGTTTGAACTACCATGTCATACCGAGTTTGAACTACCATTTCATACCGGTGGTTTTCAAGCCGGGTTTTTTCCAATACCAATTGAACCCTCATGTTATGTCGATGAGGTGCATGTTTTTGTTCATCAATTTGGAAAATGTTATTTCAAATCATTTATACACAATAAAAAATTTCAGAAGAACACAACATTAGGATCTCGACACGCAAATAGCCGACAGCCAACATTAAAGCATTGACCCGAGTAGGGTCTCGAAACTCTAATCAAACAATTTCGTTACAAACTAGCTCCCTGTTCACCAGTAATCAATCAAATCTGATCAGTAATGGTGATCTTGATAGATGGCTCCAAATTCAGCTCTCCACGCCTGATCATCATCCGGTACACTACTCTCCGGCAGCAACTCCGACTCTTCCCCGTCGTACATCGGCCGCCGTGCACTCTCCGGCAGCCTGCTATCCGCCAGATACTGCTTCATCGTCACCATCTCCATCTTGTGCTTCCTCTTCATCTTCTCCATCTGCTTCTTCAGCTTCTCATTCTCTTCCCCAACGCTCCCACATTTGTCCTGCTCACCATCACCAAAAACACAAACTTGTTTTAGATATTGTTCGTAAAAATGGATCAAAATCACAAAAGAAGTTTACTTTGTGAAGAACCCACCTCGGCAAACGATGCAGCTTCCTCAGCTTCCCTCAGCCTGACGAGCACTTCCCCTGCTGTATGAACAGCTTCAGCAGTATCCCTGAGCTGGAGCTTCAAGCTCTTGTTCTCCTTCCTCAGCAGCTCCCTCTCCCTCTCCCTTTCCACCCTCAACGCAGAAAGCTCCGCCGCCAGCGACTTGGCGAACCGGCGGCCGCCTTTGGTTCCCGCCTTGGCTGCAGCCCTCTTCACCTCTGCTATTCCTTCCATCATTGCTCGGTGCTTGGCAACCAAGTCGTTGTGCCTGTCCTGCAGATCGGCGTAGTGCTCCACCATCCTGGCGTGTCCAACCACGGCCCTGTGGAGAGCGTCGTCTAATTCTTCGGTCACGGCCTTCTCCAGCCGGAGCTCCGTCTCCACTTTCTCTGCCTGCCGGCGGCTGGACTCGAGGTCGATCCTCAGCTCGTCGGTTAGGGAGATCCAGTCGCTCTCCATTTCCGTCCACCTCTGTCTTTCCTTCTCCAGTTCTTCGACGTCGTTGAAGGAGCTGGAATTGCTGCGACGCATGTCTATGCTCTTCCGGAATTGAATGGATCGTGTGAGCAGAGATGATCTGAGCAAGTCGGTAGATTTCGTTGAAGGTGGTGCGTCGGTATACGTCTTCAACTTGGCCTCTAGAGTTTCGATTTCGTTCAGAAGTTCTTCTTTCTCCCTCGTGTCGGAACTTGTGTGTGCTTCATCTGAAACCATTTCTTTCACTTCACATTCGTCATTTCCCTCCTTAAAACCAGGTCTCAAACACTGCAAAAAGAATGGTAGCAAAATAAGAACTGGGAAATAAGGCCAAAATCCCATATATCACTTTCCAACAATCAAAAAAGCTAACCTTGGATGGTGCCTCCAGAGCTAGTATATAGCCATTTTGCATGGGCTGCTGTTCTGCAACTTGTTTGTATTCTTCAACCTGGATCAGAAACATTCGAGATTGTCACAACCAACAATCGAGAGTTTTAGTTTACAAAAGAAAGGGGACAAAGCAGAAGTTCACAGAATGAATCATCACCATCTTATTTAGCTCCTCAATTTTTGCTGCCTGCTCCTTGCAAAGAATTTCAAATTCCTTCTCTCTAGTGCTAACTTTAACTAGCTCATCACCGCTTGAACGCTGAATTTGATCATTGCATACAGAATATGAGAAACCCAGTTGAAAAAATCATCATAGAAAATAAAGTAGCAGAAACTTCTGCAGCAATTAAAGAATCAAGGTTGAGGGAAATAAATATACCTTGCTCAGTTCATCAGGATTGGCTACTTCACAGCCTGCCGCAGCCTGAGTAGAGGTTTCATCGACGACGACTTTTTCGCGACACGATGAACAAAGTAAAGAGGCTGAAGAAGCTACTTCTTCAGTAGATGGGAGGGAACCTTCCCTGGACTTGTGAACCGAAGCAGTTGGTTTCAATGCGAAGTGTTCGAAAGAGAAAGATGCCGTGGATCTGTTGGACAGCGGCGAGGCTCGTTGGTGATGGTCAATTATCTGCAAGCCCCTCTGAAGGCTAGCAGCCAGGGAGTCAGTGGGGCCTCCCAATACCTTGCTTGAACGCAGTGACGATCTAATCTGCTCACTTCTCCTAAACGACTGACTTGCTCCAATTGAGTGGAAGTTTGAGCTCTCTGAAACATTATTCTGACTTGAGGAAAATGCTGATGGTGAGATGGCCGTGCTCTTCCTGGTATTTCCAATTTTAGGAGATTCAGACAGCAGTGGTTCTTGGAGAACTTGAGACTGGCGGCACAAGCTGATAGATATGCTACTCCTGATAGAAGCAGGATCTACGATAAGGCTGCTTGAAAGTTCGTCTATGCCTTTCTTGTTCTTCAATGAATCAGTTTCTTCATTTTCAGCTCTAGCTGGACCATCAACTTCATCACCATCTTCAGTCATGGCATCAGTTTCAAAACTTTGGTGTACTGATGTGAAATGCACAGAATCCCTGTTGTCGGATACATCTGTTAAGTTCTCCTCGCCTGAAATCCGGAGCTTCTTGATATGGTTGTGCAGTTCCATTACATCATCCACGTCAGCAATGTTAGCCTCATCGTCGGAATCAACATCAATCTTGGGCAACATTAAAGAGCGGTTCAAGCTAACTCTTAAGCTATTCAAGCTGTCACGCACATTCCGCCCCCTGAAGTAACCACTTTTACTTCCAGCTGATTTACATGTGTCATATTTTGCCCGGATGAGCTCCTCCTGTTAACAAAAAACAACAAGATGATGACTTCTGTGGGTCTGCTGTCGTTGATTGTTTGCACACCACAAGCAAAAGTTGTTAACTTGGTTGCAGTTGTCCACAAGGGAACGGGATATTGATGCAATACCTTGAGTTGGCGTATCTGATCACTCAAATCATTTACATCATCCTCCGATATTTCATTTATTACCGGATTATTTTGGATCGACTTGATTCGCTGTCCAAATCTAAGTGTCCTTAAGGTCTCATTGTCATTTCTGCAGTAAAAATCAACATCCCAATCCTTGTTTCAGACGATGGCATCAGATGGGTAGTATATGAAGTGTGTAGAGAGAAATCGGGGGCTGGGGGTACCTATTATCAGGAGATATGTTGCAGATAACTGTCAGCTTGGTATTTCCGCCAAGTGACTCCCGAAGCAAATGTGTTAAACAGGACTCTTCATAAGGAACATCTCTGAATTTTTCAGGTTGATCTTCTTTTGCGAGACTGCTCACAATTTGCCTGCACAAGTGAAAACAAAAAACTGTTATTACTTTGTTCTTCAGAAGCTAGAACTCCCATCAGGCTGAATATGGAGGTGAATGGCAAATAGAATAGTACCCAAGCTGAGAGAGGGACTTCTTCACATGTTTGCTTTCCCTGGCTAGCTGCCTCCCTGCATCGTCAGGTTTATTCCTGTCGATCCCGGCAAGATCTACAAAGCTAATTCTGCTAATCTTTGAACTACTGAAACATGTTGACGACATCCCCTGTGAAATGGACCATGTTTTTTGATAAACTTGAAGTGATAGAGGTAATTGAAGCGATTGACAAAGTAAACACAAAAAAGGCACTTCCTATCAGTAGAATTGCAAATGTAATGTCAAAAGTACCTTACACCAGGATTCGATTATGAAAGTAAACACAATATGAGATCTAGAGCTCTTAGAGTTTACACTTGTTGCTCCAACTTTTCTACTTGAAAGCCCCTGTATCGAAATTTCTACCGAACAGTTAGATGGCAGAATTGTGCAGGGCATAATGTGCAGCCGACAGAAACTTTAGATCAACAAGACTTCATTGTAACAACAAGAACCACATCCTCACCTTGATTAACATTTGAGCTAAATCCTCATAACTAGTCACGTACTCCTCAGTCAAATTCTCCACAAACAATCCATTTTTTGGATCATCCATTATCTGAATATTTTAGTTGAAGATCCTTACCATTAGAAATGAATTCACTATCAAAATCTTGACTTGAAATGAGTACAAGATGATAAGATGGACAGGTAGTAATGTATCTCTACCTCAAGGTTCCGCTGAACTGGATCAAGCAAGTCCCCAATTTGGTCATTATATATCTACAATAGCAACAACAAAAAGAACAATTACTTCAGAACATATTCACAAGGGCCATCTGATTGCCACAAATGCCAGCACAAGTATGCAGAGTTAATACATACCTCAAGGAAAGAACACCTGCACTGGTAATTAGTCTGCTTTCCTTCAGAGCTATCTTGCTCCTACAATCCCAAACGGAAAACAAAAGAGCAAACTCAATCACAAATCTATACTGAAACCTTTAGCATTACCACTCTAGAAAAGCAACAACGAAGACTCACTTTTTGAATCTCATCAAACAACATTTGGAAAATCCGAGGAACAATCCCCTGGTGACTGCTGGGTGAAGGATCCGCAACCATGGCGCTTGGAGGACCCCACAT